CTTTACACAATTGATGTGTGTATGGATTGTGATAAGAGTTGTATGAGCCCCTAATAAAATGATTTAAAAAAAAAGAAAAGAGAAAAAATTTTAGTCTTGATTAACATACAGCAGGATGATAAGGGCTCAAATATGAGTTCTGTGGAGAATAAGGAGCATGCAGATTTTATTACAGGAACAGCGTACAATCAGTGAAAGTTCAGGTTGGTTAGATGGCTTCATCATTCAACCTTTGGAAGGTATAGGATACCGCTTTTATCTTAGAAAGGATTTAGGGTCTAAGGGCAGCCAGCAGAGGAGCTGTGGCGTAGCATTTAGGTTGCATTTAGCAAGAAGAGTGGGGGAGAAGTAATTTGAATACAGCTCTTGCAAGTGTTACTGAAGCACTGCTCATCTTTCATTACTCTCCCAAGTTATTTAATGTAGTTCTCTTAAACATTAATTCTCACTGCCTACTTGACTCTTGGGCATTGTAGACCTAAATATAAGCTTTCAGACAAAGAAATAAAGTGACACTTTTTCATATGCTCTCTATCATTTTACAGTTTGTCATTTTCTTTCTTTTCTTTGCTTTTCCATGTCTAGGCTGGAGCCAATGTCCTTCTTCAAGATGTTAACGGAAATATACCATTGGATTATGCTGTAGAAGGCACAGAATCAAGCTGGATCCTCCTGACCTATTTGGATGAAAATGGTAGGCAGAAGCCTAAAAAAAATCATTAATAGAATAGATTAAAAGACAAACTGGATATGTGCCTTGAGTTTTATATTCATTCTGACATCACTTCAGACTGATGTTGTTTCTAAGGGTTATGTACACTAACGTATTTTTCTATTCAATTTTTCATTGCCCTTTCTGCAATTCATTGTGGGTTTATGAAATGCAATTCTGCTAGCCTACAGAAGTCTAGAGGGCAACAAAGAAGGAACATTTTAACAAGCATTTAGAGTCCATAATTAGTGGGACTGGGTTTGTAATTATAATCTATTCTCCACTGGGAGGGGAGGGGAAGTGAACCAGGGCAATTGAATTTTGAGTTAATGAGAGCAAGGTCATTTGAAGTGTATTCTCTTAGGAGCTGAAGGGTCTAGTCAGAATGGTACACAAGTGCATACAGCTAGGAGACCTGGTCGGGTAGTGTTTGTGTGTGCAGCTGCTAACTAAGGCCAGTGGTCAAAACCCATTAGCAGTTCTGAGAGGGGAAGATTTGACAGTCTGCTTTGGAAAAGATCATGGCCTTGGAAAATCTATGGGGCAGTTCTACTCTACTGTTCTGGGTCACTTTATGTCAGAATAGACTTGATGACCATAGATTTTAGAAGTCAAGGTTTCAAGTCAAGGTCAGTTTGTGCAGCATTCTGTCAGAAAAAAGCCCTATGATCATGGTGCTGGTCGGTGAAGAGGATACTGAGTCCCCAAAGA